CAATTATGGAAAAGTGTGACTTCCTTTCACCTTCGTCCCCTACATCACGGAGAGATTCCAGAAGAAATGAAAGCATTCACTGCACCAGCTTGCTCTCTGGGTTCCCTCCGCACCTGCGGCTCTTTGGGAAGCCAACTGTGACAAAATTGCCAAGGACCCTTGAGCTCTGAGGGCCACCTCAATCCCCGAGCACGCAGGGAAATGAATGACAGAGGAAGGGCCTGATGCGCCCACTCCTTGCAGCATCCAGCTGAGTGGGCTTCGAGAAAGTGCCGCGTGGGTGGGGCCTTTTGGAGCGTCTGTGCCGTGGGGCTGAGCGGAGAAGCGGGGGCTTGAAGCACGGGAGGGGCTTGTTGGTGGGTGCCAGCAAGCGATTTCCAGCCAGCTCTTTTGTATGTGAATGTGCTGTCAACCCTTTCTGCCCTTTTCCCTCTTAAATATTCCCCTGCTTTCAAGGTTTGGTGATTTACATAAAATCTAATGTGAGGAAAAAGTGTAGTCGGTCATCCAGCACTCTGATTTCTTTGTTTTCCACTCGTTGTCTAGCTAACCTGGGAGCAAAGTATGGTCTTCCTCAAACCTCAAGACTTTAAAAATTGAGGAAGAACTCAAAGTGGGCTGGAGTTGCCCTCGATCCATCCCCTGTAGTTGTTCGAATGTGCACTGTTTTGTATTAATTAGTGATTCTTGTTAGGGACCTGATCTTGCCATCACAGGCTGCATTTTCCTGGTGCTTCTTGGCTCTTAAAATGACCTCATGCTCTTTTCTTTAGTTTCCCTCCTCCCAAGGCCACAGCAGTCCGGAGGGGTTAAACCTGTTTCTCCAGGACCAAACCCATACAGGGCAACCTGGCCCGTGATATGTTAAAAAGAGCCCACTCCTCATACATAAGCAATAGCCCAGCCCAAAACAATAAAAGGACCTTCCTTTCTTTGTTCTTCTCTTCCCTCTCTCCTCTCTCCCTAATAAAGTCTCCGGTCGGACCTCTCGGTGTGCGGCCTAGTTGTTGAGCGTCGCTGTGCCTCTACAATTCTTATGTGTAGCAATATCAAGAAGAAGGATTCTTGGAGCTAAAACACAGGTCAAGGTAGGACTGAGATGGGCCACACAGGTGCACCTCTGGGAGAGCTGGCACCGGGATTCAGGGCGTGCGTCAGAACTAAGGGTTGGCAAACCTACTCCCACAAGGGAAGCAAAATGCTAAAGTTCCTTTCCTTTCTCTCATTCCCAGACTTGCAAACAAGGGGTCTGAGTCAGTCCTCGAGCACCCAAGTTAGCAGAATGGGGACGGGGAGAATAAACCAGAGCCTGCGCCCTTCACCTTGGCGAGTAGTTTTCGGTTCACTTTGCGCCCGCCTGTGGCTGGAATCCAGTGCCTCCTTGTGCTTTGGAGATAAGGAAATCTGTCCTCGGAGTCTTCCCTCTGGCTTTGGAGATGTCATTTAGTCCGAAGAATCTTCTTGGAAGAAGAGTTCCCCAATTCTTTTAGGGTGTTTGGTGGTGGGTGGAAGGTACACGGGCGTGGGCACACACACACAAACATAAACACACATGCACACAGGAAAACAGAGCAAAAGTAAAGGATTAGAAAAGTAGGTGATAAAAGAATAGAAAAGATAGGTGAGACAAAAGAAATCCTCGAGTTTATGTTGCATTACATCTAACCCACCCTAGTGTGTCATATTTTGTGTACCCGCATTTCCCACATTTGCCATGAGAGACACACTGGTCCCCTGGAACTTACATAGTCCCTCACACACTCACACACGCATGAGTGTTTGTATCTGACTTTTTTCAAACAGCTTATAACAATGTATTTTATTAACTGTAGCCACGTAACGTCTCACATGAAAACCGATCGGACAAAACAACTAAACACCGAAAAGGAAGTCCTCGTGCTTATCTTGTCATGGGCCTAAGAAGACTGACGGTGTGCCAGGGTCTCACTCAAAGCCAAAGTGATATCTCACTAATGTCAGTCTAATACGCCTTAAATGAAGGTACCTTTCGATTATGAGTCATCTTTGTATGTATGTATGTATGAGTCATCTTTGTATTCGTCTGTAAAACGTTAGGTCAGCTTTATTCAAATAACAATAACACCGATTACCATTACTATGTGAAAACGCTACTTACTTTAAGTGTTTTACAAATATTAATTCTTTAATAACTCAAGAACGTTGTTGGCACTCATGAATTAGTATTTGTGGAACACCATAAAAGGGAGAATAAAGGGAGGAGAGGAAAAACTTCCAAATATTATGTTTAAAATTCCCATGGAGGTAGAATAAGCTATTGGTATTCTTAAAGCAGAAACAAGACTGTAACAGAGTGGAAGACAAAAGATGGAAAGATTCTTGAGAGCTGAAAGTGCCGCAGATAATCTTTCCTGCCCCTGCATCAGCCACCCCCACATCCACCCACCCCCTTCTCAGGTCTCTACCCTGAACCTTGTTCTCCAGGTTCCCAGCATGAGGAAATGGGCACTTGACATAATTCGAGGAAACCAGCTGAGCATCTTCCCAGAGGGAATGGTTCGTTTCCTTAATGAGAAGCAGACCAGGGAGGAAATCTCCTTTTCCCCCTCCCCCTCTTCTTCCCTTCCCCTCCCCCCTTTCCC